GGAATGAGATGCTTAAACACCTCTGTGGATGTGGGACCTGATTTAGGCTGTCAGTTATCCAGCCTGCGTAACATCACTTTTCCCCTCTCTCCTCCACAATTTCCACCTTCCCTGTTCTCCTTTTTTAGGTGCTTGCTAAGACAGAACCTAGGCTTCTGCAGAGCTCTCTGCTTTCCAGGTTTCCTAAACCAGGCTTTTTTTCCATGCAAAAGTCCTAAGAATTGGGTGGTGTTGCTCCCCTCTGCTTCAAGAGCTGCTGTGTTCCACCCAGGAAGCAGCTGCGCTCGCGTTAAGCAGTCGGTGTGGTTTTGTCACGGGCCGTTTGACTGAAGTGCCAATATAGCAATCGGAAAAATCTAATTTTAGGTCGCGAGGTCTCTTCTGAAAGCATTTGTTTCTGCAACCTGCAAGCTGAGGTCATGGCTGCGCATCGCCACGTGGGCCCGGCAGCTCCCTGCCACACAACGCGCCACCTGGGGACAGGGACATCACCACGTCTTCCCCCAAAACTGCCCAGTGTTAGTCATCATGGGGGACAGATGGTCCTTCTCCATCAGCAGGTCTGAGCAGACAGGAGCAGTCCCAGTGCCTTCACGCTAGTGCCAGAGATCCCCCGCTGTGACTCCATCCCATAAACACAGGCTGGACAGCAGAAGCCCTTCTTAAGCCTCACCTAAACCTTGCTGAAGTGTTTCCAACAGCTGGCACGGTCTCTGCTACAGCAGTGCTGCTGGACAGAGGTGCTGATGTAAAGGAATACCTAAAAATCAGCTTTTTTTGTTTGTTTGTTTGTTTTACATCACTCTTTTTGCACTGAGGAGAGAGCAGGGTGAGCTGCTGGCTCTGGGAACGTCTCCGCTGCCGTGAGAGAAGGCTCTATGGAAAGAATGCACTGATCTCAGCCTAACAGAATAAAAATAAAATAACAGAAATCCAAAATCCCCCTGCTCATCTTCTGGAAAAATTAACCAAAAAGCAGCTAAGGCCGAGTCAGAGCTGAAACGCACCCGCAGCTCCGCCACGTTCCTCTGCAGCCTTATGGCTCCGGTGGGTAATCAGGGGTTTCCCATGGCAGCGAGAGCAGAAAGCCCTGTTTCCCCTCGTAAATCCCTCAGCAAGCTCCCCGTCTCCACCTCCAACTGCACAATCCGGCTACAAATCACTTGCACCCGGGCACGCAACAAAGATCTTGGCAAGTCACCTGAATGGCTTTGATGTTTATTGCAATTACAGCTGCGCTGGCGGCATCCCGATTATTCTCGTTAGCTGTTTACACAGCCAGGGCTCTCCGCTGGCAGCGGCAGGAAAGCGTTCCCAGCACCGTTTGCACGGGATTCCCTCGGGGACGTCTGCAGGGAGCCGCGACACGTGGCGCTTCGCTGTTCGCACCCATCCCGCCGCCCAGCCCCACGACAGGACTCGGGTCTCTTCCTGCTTCGCGCACGTCCGTCCTCCTCCGATGTAATTCCCGCGGGGATGCTAAGGACCATCACCAAAGGCAAACGCCCGATCTAACAGGACTTTTGATTGTTTGAGTTGGCAGGGAAGGCATAACAAGCAGCAGTGGCCAGAAGGCAGAGCCAGACTTGCTCCGCTTTCAGATAACGGGCGGTTGTGTTTAGAGAAGCCTGGACTGTTTATTCCAGAGTAAAGTGCCAAAAAAAGGGATCTCCGTCCCTCGGCCTCTTCACAGCAAGACCGGTCGCTTCTCCGCAGCAAAGCTCAAAGGCGGCGGACCAGGGCGAGCATCTGCCTGGCCAGATGAACTCCAGGGAATGAGCACTGGGAAAAAAACGGATTATTCATCTTATTTACAATAACCCCAATGCTTAGTTTTGCGAACGGAGAATTCCTTACGAGCCAGTGCTCTGGTGTGACTGGCAGCAAAGGGCTGAGCTCTGGCAGAAGAAAGCACTGAGTATGATCCTCATCCTCTCGCCCCAGCGCTGCGGACGCTGGAGCTAGCCCATGGGATGGGCCCAGCAGGGATAGCAGACAGGGCAATGTCATCTCCCTCACCCTCAGCTTCTTCCCGTCCCTCAAGGCTCTGCTCAAGCTCTCAGATTGCTTCTCGGCTGCACCAAAAATAGTGGAATAAGCAGCCAGCTCAGCACCTTTATTCCCTTTTTCCTTCGACAAAGACTAAGTGCAGACAATAGGTCTTTCTTCAGCTATTCTTGATGCTTTCGCATGCCGTGTACAATAAAAAGCACCTGTGATGATTTAAAAAAGAAAATGTGTTACAAGAAGCTACTTGACCCCACAGACAAACAAGACAATGGCCTCTGCAAGGGAATTTTGGAGAAAGAGGAGCTGGTTTGAGTTTGGCAGCTGCTAGAGGATAGCTGCCCCCGTGGTGATCTCAGCACATTATTTTTTGTGCTGAATGTATGCAGAGTGCCTTAAGGCATTTGCAAACCAACCTCCAGAAATTGTGTTGTAAAGCTGTTTAAGAAGAGGAAGCCCAGGGACAAAGAGAAAACTTGACAAACTCTTGGGATCGATGGAAACAGCCCAAGTCACTGCATGTTCTCCATGCAGTCAGCTGGGCCCTGGGGAGCAGGCAGTGCCCCACAGCACCCAGGCGATGGGGCTGCAAAGAGGAGCAGCCCCCTTCCTCAAAAGAAGCATCTCTACCTCTTTAAGAAGGGCAGCCATATGCCCAAAAGATCTTTCTTTCCATTATATTAGTTGATTTAGCAAGTGATGTTACACCTGTCCGTAATCCTGTCTGCATTTCTAAACTGACATTTATTTAACCTGCTTTTCAAAACCTGCAGAGGAGGATATCCCATAATTCTCCTATGCAGTCACTCCTAGCAATTCACTATTCTTATGTCAAGACAGTTTCCTATTGCCCAGTCTCCCCTTTCCTTGCTGCAGTTAAAGTACTTGTTTTCTGGTCCTGTTCCCAATGGATTTAGAAAACCAATTAGTCTCTTCCTCTCCGTGTAATTAAAGATCTGATCATGTCTCCTCTTTCATGGACTAAACAAGTCACTTTTGCCAGTCTGTTGCCCAGTAAGCTAGAAGAGAAAAACACGGAAAAGATCTGAAAAGTCAAGTCTGCTTTTCACAGCCAAATCCTGTCTCTAAAGACCATGTTTTATAATGTGTTCACCATGGTTTACACATTGTTTTGGTTCCTGTTTGGCCGGGAGCATTGTCATAAAGCCTCAGACAGAAAAACAATTATGGTTCCAGCACTGTTCCATGAGAAAAATGAGATCAATCAAGAGCTCACTACAGCCAGACGGTCCCAGGGGTGGGCTCTGAGCCAAGGCCTGACAACCCACATATGCTGGGTGCTAAGGGTCTCGTTCCAGATGTCAGGGCATTCATCTGACCTCCTTCAGACACCTACAGCGTAGGTACCCACCACAAAGTTCATCACCTACATCGCCTCTATGGCTCCTCGTGAGGAACAGGATGTTGCAGGCTGTGGATCCTCTAGCCATGGCTAGAGTAAGGTAGAAATCTGAAATAGGCACAGTCAGGTAGTAAGGTAGAATTCCGAAACAGGTCAGAGCAATGGGGTTTTAGAAGTGCCTGGTTCTCTCTTTGGTGAAAAATAGAGCCAGGAGACGAGCTCTCTTGCAGGCATCTCAGGAGATATGTAAAGCAGCAGGTGAGATGAATCTCATGTACAGGGAGGACAGGTTCTGGCTGTAAATGGGCACACAAGCACTGCTCTGCTACAGCTGGTGCTGCTTTGCTGGGTCTCCCCTCCTGCCACACCACAAGGCACCTCATCACTGACCACTGTTGCAATGGAGCTACGTGGCATTACAAGGGGATGGCGGGCTGGAAGGACGCAACCTTCACTGCTGTACCTTTTTGTCCAAAACCTTCAGCTCTCGTGGGACTCTGTTGAGATGGATCACCAGTGGGATCGGATTCAGCTGGTTTCTGTAGCTGTAATGTAGTTTCTTTCATTAATCTTAACTACAGACAGCACCGGGATCACCAGCAATAACCATTTGAACATACCAGTTAGGATGTGCATTTCAAAACCGACAGACCCAAAGTCAGACCAGTTGGGTTTCATTTGAGCATTTAAAGTGCATTTACCTTTTCCAGTTCTTGTCCCCGAGTAGAGGAACTGGTCTTTTCTTTTTCCCATTTTACACGGCAGCATTTATAATTGGCATCTCATCTAATCATAGGACTCGAGGAGCTGGGGCTTAAAGAAAAACACCAGGGATCCTGAGAGTAGGCAACATGGGGGATTGGTGAAGGGATGCTTTGTCATAAATCCAAAAAAAAAGAGAACAACAACAAAAAACAAACAAAACAGTTGAGAAACTAGGGACTCAGTGCAACACCTACAACTCTGGGAAAGAAAAAAACGTCCGGAACTCCCTACCACTACCAGGGGTGGCAGCTCTGAGTTGGTCCCCAAGCAGCCCCCTCACTGCATCCAGACTTGCATGAGCACGAGGCTTTAAGCAGCTTCCCAGGATGCAAATACAAAGGACAGAAGGATCAGAGGTAGGAGATAGGAAATAAAACAGTCCCACTGGCTCCTGGAAGCCTTTACAAACCTCCTCCATCCACTCATTAAGGTCTCAAGGGAACAAAGCGATCAAACGTATGTCTTAATTCTTTAAACAGCTACAGAACACAGGTCAAACTGCCTTCCTCTGCCAAGACTGAGCTGAAGCAAACAGCTCATGGGGAAGAAATGACCCTATGGATTTACACAGCCTTGCATTTTCCCTGGAGCAGAGGAAGACAGATCCCTGAAGGGTTCAGCTCCATCTGGGAGGAGGACATTTATCCTGGCTGAATAAACTCCAGCACTAACTACTCAGAACCTGAGCGTTTTGTACACTATGTTTGCTACTACTTCTTTGCTAACGCTTTTGGGGAAATTGTGTATTTCAAAGTCATTCCTACAGAAGATGAGGAAAAGCCAAACCACACAATCAGTAAGAAAACCAATGCATTAGTGACAGTCACAAATTAGCACCGCTAATACTCTTATTCTTTCATTTCAGGTACCACGACCACCACAGACTCCTCTGTCCATGCTGTAACAGGTACCTCCTGGGTTGTGATCTGCTTTAAACGTCTATTTGGATGTGGATGCATGTGCCCATGTGGGGATGCAAATGGAGAGCCCACAAATGGGAACCAGATTCAGGACTCCCACCCATTTCCCACCCTTTTTTCCCAGGACTCTGTGTTACCCACCTCTGCCTACCCCATCTACCGCCATTCACCCCGAGATCTTCAGGGGCCATGGAGGGCCCTGCGTCCCAGGGGATGACCTTGTCTGGCTCCCCTTTTTCTAGTCTCTGCTCCCAACCTTGTCTGGAAGAAAGCAATGCTTTGCTTCAGGAAACCCAGTGAAAGCAGAGGGATCCTGCCTCATCTTTGCTCTCAGTTCCCTCCAGCTCCTAGCAGTCCTCTGTCAGCATGTTCTCCTCCACTGATCCTCAGAGCCAAGGTCCCTACAGGCACACCAGTGACAAACTCCCTCCTTACCATCTCTTGTCCCCATCACCCTTTCTGGCCCATCATTCAACCCTCCCTACAGGGATCCCACCAAAAAGGAGCACATGTAGATGTCACCTCCATGTCTCTCTGCTTGTGTTCCAGGTCAATCCCAATCAACGACACACAGCCCTGAAGTAAAGAACCATACCTCAGGTAATGCTCATCTGGAGATGTGAGAGTGCAGCCCAGGGGCTTGTAACTGGTCTGAGCCTCAGTCCAGCTGGGACATCCAGCAATAAATGGGCTGTGCAGCAGCAGGTTAGATCAGAAGAGTGGTGGGGTGTTGCAGCTGGAAGGCTTCAGGTGGCTCCAAGTAGACCAATGCTCTAATGCGAAGGCTTCAGGCTTACTCTAAGGAAGGCCCACACTCCTCTAAGACTCAGGAGGAAATGCCTCCCCCTTAGGAGTAAACACCCTGCCTTAAATAGTCAGGAGTCACATGGTTTGCTAGATGGGTCAAGGCTATTGGTCACTTGACCATCCATCTCCCAGAGTGATTGGCTGAATGCTACAGCACCTGTTTCAAGGTAACTTTCCCAGTGTAACGAGCCACAGGTGTTTTAGCTAACCTGCATAGGGAAAGGAGCCATAGGTGTTTCTTAGTTAGCCTGCATGGGGAAAGAACCTTCACAGGATGCTGCAGCAGCCAAAAGATTTCTCCACAGTGGGGAAGAAGGAAATTTTGTGGCGTAAGGGCTTTCGATCCAGCCAGCTCACCCCAGAGGGATCAAGGTACAGGTGTGAGCAAGAACGGAGAAAAATCACTTAAATGAATAAGGAGAAGCAGGGCTGGCAGATCACAACCCCGGGAAAAGCCTGGGCTTCATACCTTGCGTGCACAAACGATGCGACTGCCCGGAGACCAGGCAAGCAGCCAGGCTGGGTGGCATCCAGGCTGCTACATCCTCCTGCCCGGCATCACCTGCTTTGCTTAGCTTCTTCCACGTGCTTTGCTTCTTCCACGTGCTTTGCTTCTTCCACATGCTTTGCTTCTTCCACCTAAGGACCATCAGGTGTGTGCAGTACGTGCACACACGGTGTCTCACGCACCAGCTCTGGCCTTGGCTCCTGGTGTCAGGGTGGAAGTAACAGCAATTAAGCCATTGTTGTAAGAGCTTCTCTGCGTTACATTTACTTTTCTACTCTCTCAACAAGCCTGACCACATTTTTTTTTTTAATTTAACTAAAAACTTTCAGTGCTTTGCACACCCTCAGCACCTCCCATACAACAGGTCAACATGTTCCCCGTTTCCCCAAGAGGAACAGGGGAGGCGTGAGGAGGCTTGTCCTAAACTCAGGTACGTCTGTGTCAGCACCGGGACTGAACACTGCCTCAGATCTAATTTAGTTATTCGTGTTGGGGCCTTTGCTTTGTTATCTACCTTCACGGAAACAGCAATCACTCGTAAAGACAGAAAAATATTTAAAAGTAGGAAGAACCTCTGAGGAGTCCCCTCACTTTATTCTCTTTTTCCCGTTCTCCCTCTCTGCTGAAACCAGCGTCAGGACACTATCATGCACGCGTGGTCACGCAGAAGCCCTGCAAGTGGGCGCAGGGAGGTGTTAGCAGAAAGTTACACACTTCAATCTGAAAATACACAAGATACACAAGAAGGGATCTCTCCAACTCCAGATCCACATCTGTTAGTCCACTTGGATCTTTGGAGACAGATCTTTCTTCTATGTCAAGTGGGGAATAAAAAAAAGCCTTTCCAAACATAGCTACCTCCCCAAAGGGACCCCAAAAATATAAAGGAAAAAGATCTCAAAAAAGATCTCAGATTCTGCTTCCATGCCTTGTAGAAAAAAGAAACTGGTTTCTAAATTCAAATATTGAATTTTATTTGATGCTTCAAATATTGAAGCATCAAATAAAATATTCAAATATTGAAGCATCTGGATAAAAGGGAAAAAAAAAACCCAAACCAACAACCTCTAAAACCATTTTCACTCTTTTCTCATTTTTTATTGGAAAGCCAAGAGAAGTCTAGACAAGGGACTTGCCTATAAATTCCAAGCTGGTGATCCACTCTTGCTTGCAGAGGGCTTATTGAAAGCTTTTCCCCCCTCACATCTTGCTCTGGATCATGTTCTTGCTGTGCAGCTTTGAGTAGCAGGTTGAGGAAGATGACAGAGCCTCCAGACCACTGCAAGAACTGAATTATTTATGCTTAGAGACTCAGAGAGAAATGAAACATAAAAGTTAGCATTTCAGATAACAAGCAAACACACACGTGGGTGCCAGGCAGCTCCAGCCAGTGTCCAGTGGTAAAAATACCTTCAAAGTGGGAAAAAAGTGGTGAAAGCAGACTTTCTCCACGTGTCTCCTGAGCTCTGCCAGCTCAGCACCTCTGTATACCGAAAAAAGCAAAAGCTAAGGGTGAAGTATGAGAGCTCCTGGACTCTGAGCAGGACAAAAGCTACTTCCTCATCTACTCACGCCTGTGCTTTCCCTAGCAGATCCTCCATAACTCCCAAGGAGTCTGAGGACTCTTTGCAATAGCCATGCCCGCCTCCAAGCTGTTTCTGAGCAAAGCTCGTCATGAGCAGAGCTCTTTCAAGTAATGCTATGCTTCTTCTCCAGAGCCTTCGGTAAAATCAACACCACCAGCCGATTTGAATCTCACATCTGTGGGTCAAACTCCTACAGCCAAATCCTCTTCCAACGCTACAACACCGCTAGCATTGACTGTGCCAGGTAAGTGTGGAGAACTTGAATTTCTGCTTGGGCAGAGCTTTGTCTGAAGATGTTTATGTATCCATCCTTATCCAAGCAAAACCGAGAGCATCAGAGAGACTGGGCTTATTCAGTAGCGCCAACTTTTGAATCTCTTTGAGCCTTTGCTAAAAAACCAGCTCATTTCAGCTCCCCAAAAGCACCGGGCTGGACACAACCATGACCTGGATGTGGCAGCTGCACAGCAAGCCCATGCCAGAAAAGCCAGATCATGCTTTACCACATAATATTTTGTGGAGGAGCTACAGGCACCCCAGCCTCCCCTGCAGACCTCTCCCAAGCTCACCTCTCATGGACACTCTCTAAATTGACTGCACAACTTGCTAGCCAGACATCTTGACATTTGTTTGGAGGGAAGTCTCACATGAACAAAGTTTTTTACCCCATGGAAACCCAACAGCTCTCCATAGCACAATGAGTAGCAGCTTCAAAAGTTAATTCTCCTTTCCTGTGTTTTCTTTATCCAGATGAAAAGTCTAGTGGAAGCAGAAGCACAGCAGCTTCACCAACTCAAGGTACTTTGTGCTTTTATAGAGTACCAATAAGTTTGGATAACATGATGGCAATTAGCTTGCTTGGTTCACACGGTGCAGGCTATCTGTGCACATCTTTATCTTGGGGTTGAGCCACCAGTAACCCCCAAAATCATCACTGGTATCCTTACGAGCAGTGATAAAACACAAGACCAAGTGCGCTTAACATCCTCTGCCTGGGATGAACTTGGACTGTTGAAAGACTGATCTATGTCTTTCATATCCTTAAAAGTGAGCCCTTTTAACATCCTTTTTATTAAAAAAAATAATAATTTTGCTTTTGATAGTTTGCTTAGCCCAGCCTGTAAACAAAAATTAGAGAATTCAGTAGAAGTTTTCTCAGAAGGGCAGAATCCAAGAGAGTGGGAAGACTGAAATCTGACAGCTGAGCTGATTCCCCGTTAAAGCTTCAGCCTCAAAAATCTGCAATGGCCAAGACAAAAATCTGCCTCTCCAAGTGCCTCTTAGATCTTCTCTAACACAAGCAAGGTGAAAAACTCATGGTCAGCTCTGCCTGCACAGATGCCCAGCCAGCATGCCTGTGCCCAGCTGTGCCAAGAGCCCTTTGCCTCAGAGCAGACTGCTATTAATTATAACCCTGCTGTATATCCGAAAAGCTCCATACATCTTTGACTACAGAAATGTTGCTGATGCTTCCAAAAGTGAAGTCTCCTGTTGTGTGAGACCCAGCGTTTCCCAGGGACAGGGTATCCATGCCAGGCTCAGCAAACCACAGCTTCTGCCCACTGCCTGCGGCTAGAAGAACAACTTCAGAACGAAACAAAGGGTTTGATGACTGGTGAAAAAATCACACAGCAGCAGTCCCTGTCCCTGCTTCTCAGGACAGTTCTGCTCCGTGTGGTTACCTGTTTCTGAACCGGTTATTTTTTGTTATTTCATACCATTTCCCCTTTTTCTTCTGACAGTGGTGGTTTCTGCAAGACAGGAACCCCAGTTTCAGCTGCACACCCTGCAGTCCACTGCAGAGTGCCAGGAGCTGTTTCACACCTCACGAGGCAGCACAGACTTTTGGCCAATGCTGCTATTGGGAAGCTGGGGATGGGAAAAGAGGAAAGAAGATCTCACTTGACCTACAGATGATCTTCTGAAGATCATTTTTGTCTCCTGACAGGGCCTGTAGCTCTTCGCTAAGGCCAATGCGGATAATCTTGCCATTCAACACAACCAGGAGGCAGCAAAGGATTTTTTTTCCTTCGTACAAGCGAAGCACACAGGCTAGCTTGAAATTTGCTCTCAGAGGCATCGGAAGCAGCTGTCACAAACCAAATAGCTTCATATGAGCCAGTTCATCCCACTGAGAACTGGAGCCCTCGCTCGAACAAACCCCTATGCTGCCACAGCTAGACTACATACAAGTTAGCCCAACCCAAACTGGCTTAACTACTTCTAGATAACCCACAACAGCATACCCACTAATTCCAGCCCCACGACAAGCTGAACAGTCAATCCACACCCAAATTCGGCAGAATTTCTTCCCCTAAGCAGAATTTTTTCTTCAGTCTCAAAGTTTATGAGCAATAGCAAATCTATAACCTTCCCAGGTCACTCTTCCATCATTCAGCTGCTGTGTCCACCCAAAAAAACTGCATCTGGGACTGCAGAACCTGAACAGTTTATAGAAGAGTATTTGAATTTTTATTCCCTGAGTTTCTACTTGGACATGGAAATCAGTACAAAGTATGTTTGGTGGGAAGGTTTTAGCGCGAGTATGAACTCCATGTTTTCCCAGATATCACTACCACTCCTGCGAATCCGTTCTCCTCTCCAGCATGCCCATTAATTCTTTTGCTTTTTAGATGACACTCAAGGACGAGACTCACATTCTGCGTTTCTCTGTGCAGGTCAAGAGCCCAAGAGAAGCGAGAGTGCCGCAACATCAGTGACTCGAGGTGCTTCCTCCCTTCTTACACAGAGAGGTGGTCATCACTAGATGCTTTACAGCCCTTCTCACAGCCAACAGCAAGGCCTGCTGTCTTCAGAGCAGCATGGTGAACAGCCAAGGAGTACCTGAGGGATGCTGGCCATCCCATCTAGCTCACAGAAAGCCTGTAAAGCTCCAAAGTACCAGCTTTTGGGACAACCTGGTCAGCTGGGGAACAGGGGTTGTGAGTCACGGCAGAAAAGGTGCCACCATGGCAAAAGGTTGTAAAACAAGGGAGACAGGACAAGCCATCCCCCGCAAGCACACTGCCAGATCAGTCCTTCACCTGCCATGCTCAGCTTCATCACTAGGGCCTCAGCAGAAAACCCTGCAGGTGCTCTCAGGCTGTCAGTAAAAGGCCACACCGAGGCAAGCTGATTCCCACACAGGTCTTGGTCCCTTTGCTGTTAACATTGATGGGGCTGGCCAGGATCCAACAGTATTCTCTTCAACAAAGTGCGAGTTAGATCGTCTAGCATTGCTAGGAATTCTCTTTCCAACCTTGGAAGAAAGACTTTTATATAAAGCTACCTTTTTCCTCTCTTGTAGACGCCTCAAAGCCAGTCACCCCAACACTGAACTCCTCTGACTACTTGCCTGTGCCCACTCCAACAGATGATAAATCACCACTGACGGTGGCAGCTTTTGGTAAGGTCTTGTGCAACCTGGGGAGAGGAGGGGGATCTGTTTTGCCAGGCCATGCTGTTTTGGACACCCAGCTTCAAAGATGCTTTCCTGGTGATGGCTCCTGAGTCTGGAGTTTTCAGAGCGCAAGGGAAAATCCTTGAGAAAAAGATTTGTCACCGGCAGGCAATAAGCACCTAATAAATTCTCCCAACCATGCCCAGTAAACAACGGACAATTTGACAGTCCATCATGGCTACACCTGAGCTTGGGGTCTTGCTCCCAGCACCAGTGTTTGCCCCAGCTCCATGTTAGGACAAAACTGGAACACAAATGATCCCATGCGATGCCTTTGTTTCCCTGATAGTGTCTAAAACAAATATGCTACCCACCTGGAAGGCTGGGCAATTTTTTCCCCTGCAAAGTTGTCGGGACTTCATTCCCACCCTGCCTTACTGCCTTCCCCTGCACAGTTGCACCCTGCTTGGCAGGAAGCAAACGAGTCCTCCACACCCTTCATACTGTGGAAGGATGGAGCAAGAGACCCCCCAAGCATTAACCTGGCAATAGATTTGAAGATAGGCTCAGGGTTGATTTAAGAGACCCATCCCCAACACAAGAAGGACATAGAGCTACTGGAGAGGGTCCAGAGGAGGCCACAAAGATGATCCGAGGGCTGGAACACCTCTGCTATGGAGACAGGCTGAGAGAGTTGGGGCTGTTCAGCCTGGAGAAGAGAAGGCTCTGGGGAGACCTTCTAGCAGCCTTCCAGTACCTAAAGGGGCTACAGGAAAGCTGGAGAGGGGCTTTGGACAAGGGCATGTAGTGACAGGACACAGGGTAATGGCTTTAAACTGAAAGAGGGGAGATTTCGATTAGATCTAAGGAAGAAACTTTTTACAATGAGGGCAGTGAAACACTGGAACAGGTTGCTCAAAGAAGCTGTGGCTGCCCCATCCCTGGCAGTGTTCAAGGCCAGGTTGGATGAGGCTTTGGGCAACCTGGTGTAGTGGAGGGTGTCCCTGCCCATGGCAGGGGGGCTTGGAACTGGATGATCTTTGAGGTCCCTTCCAACCCAAACCCTTCTGTGATTCTATGATCTGCCTTGAGCTATGCTGTCCCCCTCCTCCATGAAGACGAGTGGAAAAAAACAATTTGTTCATTTCTATCACACTACAGGAAAAAAATGTTATTTCAGAAGCACTTTTATAAGTCAAGCGTTAACTTGCTAAGTCTCATTTGCTAATATCCTCCGAGGGAAGCCACGAGAAGCCCTGTGCAGCCTTAACAGGACAAGATTCCCACACAAAGAATAGTTTGATCTATTGAGGCCAGATGTCACCATCAAATCTGCACTTGGCCGCTGGTTTATGAGACAGAGAAAGTTGTGCACAGTCTTCAGCTTGTCTCTCCCCGTTACGTTAGGTATTTATCCAACTTCACACACTTTTAGGATAAGATTTACCAACTGTAGTAGGGACATACTGATTTCAATCAATCCCCAGTGTAATCAGCCGACTTCTGCCCTCCCAGCACTGCCTGATTTAACAATTAATTATTCATCAGGAGCCTCTGAGGCTAGAAAACAAGAGGATAAAGCCATTCACTCTGGTGGCTACTTACTTCTCAGCTTATTTTAATGAAAATATTCATTTCCTACCCAAGTTTTGACGACAGTCAAAGTCTCTCTGCTACTCCAGAAGCAGAGGACAGGCACATCGTGACATCAGTCCCAGACAGCTCTTTCCTCCATCCCCAGGTGTCATCAGCTTCATCGTTATCCTGATCGTGGTTGTGATCATCCTGGTCAGCGTGGTCAGCCTGAGGTTCAAGTGTAACCGCTCCAAGGACGCAGAAGGTATTTGCCTGGGGTGATCTGTCT